AACTGACTTCATCTTTCTCTTTCCCCAAAATGCTGCCTCTTCTCTGCTGTCTCTCCCTGTTAAGGATCCCACCACCACCAAGTTACCCAAGCCAGAAATGTGGGAGTTATTTTAGAACTGTCTATTCCCTCTCCCCACCCAGAAAGCCTCTTAATCCCATCTTCTCCTTAACTTCTTTGCATTGCCCTAGTTCAGGCTCTCACTAGCTCTCTCCAAGATCTTTCTGTTCCATGTTACTCGGTTTCTCTCTCCTGCACTGCAAGTTTCCTTCTTTCCATACAGCATCAGATTCATCCTGAGATCGAAACATGAACCTGGTCCTGTTACTCTTCTGCTTCTGATCATCCAGTGGTTTACCCTCCAGTTAGCTCAGTGGTGCTAGGGTGTGTGAAAAGGGTCTCCTGGAGAAGAAAGTTGGACCCACATTGTGTGCGATGCAGAGATATTTGGACTCTATCAGATAACAGAGTCACTGAATTCTATTTCTTAGCAATCTGAGTGTTTCTGGTTTCTAAGGACAGCAATATCTTAGCTATCTAATCAATTCCTCTCACTACTTGAAATTGCTTTTACATCAAATAGTTACCCATCCTGTGCCATCTGTTACACAACTCAATACTTTTTGAGAGAACTCACTTCAAACTATGTAGCTCTTTTAAACAAGTTATCTTTTTTAAATTCAATTTATTTTTATTGTATTTGAAAGGCAGAAAGAGACAGGCATACAGAAAACTATATTTCATCTGCTGTTGCACTCCTCAAATGTCCGCAACAGCCAGCTCAGTCCAGGTCTCCCATGTGGGTAGCAGCAACCCAAGTACTTAAGCCATCATCTGTTGACTCCCAGAATGAACATTAGTAGGAGCAGAGCTGGGACTCAAACCAAGGCACTCCAAAATGGGTCAGGTATCCCAAGTTGCATATTAACTACTGTGCCAAACACCCACCCTCAGCAAGTTGTTCTTACATGATTCTCAAACGTTCATCTTCAGCACCAATTTCTGTGGGTCTTCATCTCTGGACCTACATCTTTATTTGCCTGCTAAATATTTCCACATGGATTTCCCAAAGGCACTTCAAACTCAATATATCTAAAGCAAGACTCATTACATTTTCCTCCTACATTTCCTACATTTCCTTTCTCATCATCTGCCCAGATACCAAAGATTTAAAAAAAAAAAGTCACTGTCAGCTTCTACTCTTTCCTTTTCCTTGCTCTTTAATTGACTTCTTATAGTTTAGTAGGCTTGGAAACAAGGAATTTAAAAATTCATATGCTTTCTGTGAGAACAATTATCTTTAAATTGTCTTTATATAGTCATGGTGAATAGGAGTTCACACTATCCCCCAAACTAATTAGGGTGAATATTCTGTTTTAAAAAAAATAATTTTAAAAACTTAGAGTGAGCTCAGTAGTCAAAGAACATTAGTGAGAAATGTAACTCTTATACTTTTATTAAAGACAAGATTATAATCCTAATCACACTAATTTACCAATTAAGTTCTTATACTATGTCATACAGAAAATTTGTATTTGACTGATCATAAATGCTGTTTTGGCATCTTTCTGCTAAAGCTACAAGTTATGTTTTGTCTTGTTTTATTTGTTACTTCTCATAATTCAATGGAAATAAAATGTAGGGGGGAAAAGTAAAATTTAATTGAATTAGGAGCAGAAAGAACTTTGTAATAAGGGACAAATCATTTTAAGGAAACTCACCAGATTTAATTTCTGCATTTAGATAAATTTTCCATTAGATAAATTAATGAAAAGTAATTCTGATTATCAGTACTAACACATGATTCAAAAATTGCCTGGAAAAAGAATAATGCATGCCAACTGATTTCTTTGGGAAGGTTTAGAATGGGTGACATAGGATTTTAATAATGCGAGATATTTCTCCATTTAACTATCTTTCAACAATAACCAATGCTTAGATTTCTGGGAAGGATACAGAGATATCCTTTTGTGTGATTCTCACTATCTGGTTTTATTTAGCATGACTATTGGGAAAATGAAGAAACTTGAAATTTACAAATGGCTTAGACTAATTTAACAAACAGAAAGCCAGAGAAACCTAGGCAAAAGGATTCAAAGAAGTTAGCAATCAGAATTTCAAGGTATATGGCTAACTTGGATCTCTCAGAAGAAAATTTTGAGAACAAATACTTTGTCTGGAATGCTAAGTTCCTGACTTATAATAGTTTTATGTAAATTATTTTTCCCAGTTTCTATGTACTTTTATGGGTATTTATAGTGAATATCCTTTTCATTTTTTTACCCCAGAAATCCAAAGGTATTTATATGCTTCCATGATTCTGATTTCCCAACATTTCAAAAAGCAGAATGTGGATAGCAAGTGATAGGAACATTAGTTCTTACTCTAAAGTGGCAGATGATGTCATAAGATACCCTTAGTCGGAAAGACTGGATGTAAGTTCCCCAAAGAGTCCTCATTCACAGCTTTGGAAGGAAACCAAGAACTGTGTGTGCTGCCTCCCAAGCATGCCAAGCCCTAAGGTTAAACATTTCCAAATGTTCTATTAATTCCTTCTGTTTACAACCTCTGACTATAATTTCTTTCTTATCCTGTGACATTTGAAAATCATAAACTTTTCCTTAAGGCATTCAAGATTTTAATCAAGTTAACCATCTCTCAACATATAAGATCCTACAACAGCAATATCTAGCTTTGTAATTTAGTACTATGGACTCACATGGTTTGTTAAACTGTTTGAAACAGGTAAATAATGCATGCTTTTCTTCTAACCCCAAGTCACCAGCAATATTTGAGACTTTTGACTGGTATTGCTTTGCATTATAATCATTTGAGTTTTTGTTCAAGGATTACAAGGTCTCTTGAGGGATACATTTATGCCTTGTTCACGTTTGTATCCTTGTACATCTAGCTGGTACCTCCTCCATAATAAGAACTCATGCATACAATAATTGATGTATGTGATAGAGATATGCATTTTGCAATGTACTGAATGCTTCAAGATTCCAAAACAATTAAATCTCAATAACAAAGCAGACAATGTTAATCATTTCCTTTAAAAAATTTATTTATTTTCATTTATTTCAAAGGCAGGGGCTGGGAGAGGGAGAGAGATCTATCTTCCATGCACTGGTTCACTCCCGAGATGTCTGCACCAGCCAGGACTGGGCCAGCCCAAAACCAGCAGCCTGGAATTCTATCTGACTCTCCTACTTGGGTAACAAGTACCCAAATATCTAATCCATCACCTAATCCCAGGCTACACTTCAACAGGAAGCTGACAGCGGAAGCAGAGCAAGGACGTGAACCCATCATCATAGCTGCTGTGCCAAACACCTGTCTAATGATCTCCTTCTAAGTACTCATCTCGGTTACACCCTTGGATACTCCTGACAAGAGATAGTGAATGTAAACCCCCATGCCTGTTCATCCCATAATGTGCCCTTGAAATTCTTTTCTTTCTATATTCATACCAGCCTATCACTTTCTTTATGTTATTTCCACTATCAAGTATTCTTTAGACAAAAGTTACCATAACACACCTCTTAAAGACTGAAGAGAACTCCATCAACAGAACTGGGAAATTTTGTTCATATTTGCATTAGCCATATTTTTTCAGTAAGCATTAACCAAGCCTGCTCTGTCTACCAATGATTGCCATCATTTACATGATGAAAGCAAGATTCTTTAGTTTGGCTCATTTCCCACTTCTCCCCACTCCCACTTTGCTTCTGTCTACAATAAAATAATCATGCCTTTGTACATGTGGTTCCTTCTGCCTAGAATGTATCTTCTTGTGTCTACTATGGGAACCCTTATTTAGCTTTCAAGATTCAGAGTAAATTTCATCTCTTCTATGAATTCTCCCTTCTGCCCTGACACCTGACAGAATTAGGGTGAACCCCTCTCTCCTTCCATAGCATCTAGACACCTTCCGTGATGGTCTTTATCATTGCTTTCTGCTTTCATCACCTTTTCTCTCAGTAAACTAAAAGATCCTAGAAGGTTACTGATGATGATCATTTGCTTCCAAAGTGTAATATGATTTCTGGCTTACAGGCATACAACATAACTGTAAGAAGGGATGCGTGAACAACATTTCCTCTATGTGACATTTCTCAGAATTGCTGCTCAGAGAGAGCATCTGCTGGCAGAAAGGGCTATTAGGCTGTTGCTTCTCTATTTAAAACACCATAATGTATAATTTTTCATTGTGTTGTTTTTAATTTCCCTTGGATAGATCCTCATGTGGCTGACAATACACCATATCACTAAATTAGTTAGCCTTGTGTTGTTATTTATCTGCGCCCTTTTGAAGGGTAGAAAAGGACAATTCCTGCTATTGTGTAATAACGGTCTTTATTAGTCCATTTTCTGTTCCTATAATAGAATACCTGAGGTTTGGTAATGTAGAAAAGAAAAGAAGTTTACTTAGCTCAAAGTTTTGAGACTAAAAATCCAACATTCAGCAGCCTCTTTGGCTCAGTCTCTAGCAAGGGCCTCCTTGGCTATATAACAAGATGGAGAAAATGGAAAGGAACCGGCTGCCTGCAGAAGTGAAGCCAGAGAAATTCAGACTGTTCTTGTAACAATCCAGTCTCATGTGAACTAACTTGGGTTCCACAAGGACCACATTAATTCCTTCTGAGGGCAGTGCTCCCAATGACCTAATCACCTCCCACTAATCCTCCTCACCCCCACCACCCACCAAAGATTCCATCACCTCCCAGTATCACCACATGGATGTATCTTTGGGGGAACACATTTACACCATATCCACATCAAAGTAGTGCCCATCCATACAAACAAGTGATGCTGGTGACTTAGAAAAGAGTCCCATTCTCGCTTTCTGTGAGAGGAAGAACAAATCAAACTCAGTAAATAAATAATATGCTGGAGCTTCCCCTCAGGCTCCCCGGAAACTGCACTTTTAGGAGTTACACTTGGTACAGGAAACATAGAACTAAGTAAGTCCAACATCCATTCTCTTCTTCTGAACAGATTGCAATACACAGAAAGGAAGTTGAAAAATTAGAAAAAGTTATTCATGAGCTGGAAGAAGAAAACTTGGTGCTTATTGATCAACTTTTCAACTGTAGACTTGTGGATCTCAAAATACCCAGGTGAAAGTCATTAATGTATTTAGAAAGTATTCTTGTAAATATTTGTATCTGTAAAAAGTTATTTTTTTTTAAGGTTGTTTAACTTTTTAACACTTTAGCTAGAAAACAACAGTCAAAAAGAAAAGGAGGCCGGCGCTGCGGCTCACTAGGCTAATCCTCTGCCTTGCGGCGCCGGCACACCAGGTTCTAGTCCCAGTTGGGGCGCCGGATTCTGTCCCGGTTGCCCCTCTTCCAGGCCAGCTCTCTGCTGTGGCCAGGGAGTGCAGTGGAGGATGGCCCAAATGCTTGGGCCCTGCACCCCATGGGAGACCAGGAGAAGCACCTGGCTTCTGACTTTGGATCAGCGTGGTGCGCCAGCTGCAGCATGCCAGCCATGGCGGCCATTGGCGAGTGAACCAACGGCAAAGGAAGACCTTTCTCTCTGTCTCTCTCTCTCACTGTCCACTCTGCCTGTCAAAAAAAAAAAAAAAAAAAAAGGACTCACAAAATGGCCATGATGAAAGAATAGGATTATTATTACAGAACGCTGGTATACTGTAAATGTCAACTTGCTTTTTCTATAATGCACTATAGGAATAATAGGAAACAGTTAAGATGAACACTACACTACACTGCCAAACTCCAAGAGCCTCCAGGCCAGCAGGGGAAATGGTCATGAAGTAATTATACTATAGTGTAACAAGAGATCTATGAAGAACACAAGAGAGAGAGAGAACTTTCTGGAAGCATCTTGTAGATGTTCTGGTTACCTTGTGGACTACAGAATTATTTCCTTTAATGAAAAAGTCACACTACTTTGTAGTTAGTGAAAATGGGCTGGCATTCCAAGTCCCATTTGTTCCCACACAAGAGAAACCAAATGTGTAATAGACGGCATTGTATTTTAGGTTAGCTTTTTTCTTACCTGACCGGAAGAAAAAAAAAAAGTCCTAATTCTAATATACCAATCTTGATGGGAAACAATAGCCCTGGAATATGGAATTAAAATTCAAAGTGGCATTCCTAATTTAGACAAGTAGTCACAAACAAGAAATAAACAAGAAATAATCTAAATGATGGTATGTTTAGGAAGAGAGGGGAAATCAGTCACACAAATATAGCTTGTAAATGTGCAAGATTGGGACAGAAACATCTACATGTAGGAATTAAAACAGATATTGAGTTGAATATGATGGAAGAGACAGAAGTTTCCATCCAAGAAGGTCCTGTTGTTTGTGTGACATAGAAACATACTATTTGTGACATGATAAAGTATTTGTTATTTACAAACTTTCTAATGTGTTCCAACAAAGATGGGTATAAGCAACTTGTAGGTTCTTTGCCAAGCTAAGTATAAGGCATAAGGATATAAGGTTAGAGAAATTGGGAGATATTGTAATTAATTACTTTATAGGTTGAAAGTTGAGTGGAGCAGGATAAACAAAGATGCAAGCTGCCTCCCTTCCCTGATTACTTGTGCTCCACAAAGAGTAGATGACACTGTAGATAATGAGGTGAGGCTGAATGGCTGATTTCTGGACTCCTATACTTCCAGTTTCTCAAGTTGATGCCCTGCAGAACCCTGGGCCTCTCTTTGGCCAGCTCTTCTGTGCAATCAGGCCTCCAGTTCCACGTGCTGTCCTACATCTAGATCTTGCATGCTGCTGCTGCTGTTGCTGGTGTGTGGCTCCTTAACCACTGCCCTACCTGCTGTCCACTGTCTATTTCTGAACTGGCCACTCTCTAAAACGCTGGTCTCACTTCCCTGCTTCCATCAGCCCAGGCTGATACATATGACTTGGTACTGATGTGACTATGAAGTCATAATATTATAACAAAAGGAATTCTTTCATGGGCTAGAGAGGACTTGACAAGAACAGAAAGGGAGCTGTGAAACTTCTAATGGGGGTTTTCATTAAGTTCTTTTGCACTGTAGTATGCAATTTAACCCTATCTTCTGTCTTCCTTACAAAAACTTTCAGTAAAACCCACATTGTTCAACAATGCTTTGGAGGTTAGTCTTATTTAGAGACATGGAGTGCTTCAGAGTTAGACAGAATGAGCATTTCTCAAGCAATGGAAACATCATAGGTAAAATTCTAAGTTGTCCTGGCATATGCTTTCAAAGCAGCCTGAACTTTCCCTTTGTAACCAACCTTTGTCAGTGTTGATTACTTGTTTAATGTCTGTTTTCTTTCTTTGAAGCAACTGTTTAGGAACTTTTCAAAGATTGGCATAAAGAAAACAGAAATGTATAAACTCTTAATTTTCTATTTGTTTCTTGTACAGAGGATAACCTGAGAGTGTTCACAAACTTTTGCTGTTTCTATTTCCACATCAAAGAAAATAACATATTTTGCGAGACACTTCCCTTTCCATCTTTTGTTGAAATTCAGTCTTCTCTAATACTACTAGGGTGATGAGAAACAGACTTGAACTGTCTCCCATGGACACATAAAACATTTTCTTTTCCTATTTAGATGGGGAATAGGGTATTCTGGTTAATGGAGTTTCTACATTTCCCATGCAGTTTTCCAAACTTTTTCCCATGACAATTCACATACATAGAATGTCATTGGATGTTTTTAACACATTGGGGTACATGGATGAGGCAACCGTCAGCCAGAAATGACTGCCTTGAGACCCCACTGCCACAAGACTGAGGCTAAGTGAGCCAAAACCTACAACTGAACACACTACATCATTTCCAATATTTTTTATGTCACTAAACAGCAAGTGTTGCTATCCTTCTGTGGCATAAAAATGACACACACTAATGATGAAGATGGAAAGCTAGATTTCTGATGGTTATGCCATTTAATAAGATCTTAATTATTAAGACAGTGAAACTAGGAAAAAGAATTACATGGTGACAAGAACTACGTGAAAAACCCACCTTCGCTATGTCTACAGAAGGTTGTACAGATATGAATACTAGATGTACTCACAGTAACTGCTGGGGCCATGAAATCACCTAATTCAGGGGATTCACTGTTGCTGATTATCTATGTGTAGGTGCTGCTTGCATATCTACACAAGTCCAATTGCTTCAAGCTCTTTTCAGCAAACCTCACACAAGGGTCATACAGAGCTTTAATGACATCACATTTTCTGATGTAAAATTTAGTGGCAGTTCCAAATAGGAGTGCATAGAATTAAATACATGCATACAACATCAAGAGCATCTATACAGCACTTCAGTAGGTGTGTAACTGAAATGTGTCACTCAGAGAAAGCCAGGCCTGGATGGCCACTTGGGTTCCCACTGTTCATGTTCTCTCTTTTCATCTCAGATCTTTCCCATCCAGACCTCTCACTCTTCACCTCAGCTACAACAAAGTGAGACCTAATCAGTGTCCTGCACACTCTCGTTGCTGGGGCTCTTCCAGGAAACCTTTCCTTTCCTCAGGCTAACTCAGGTGCTTCTTTGTTCTTCCTCCAGCATTCTCATACTCTGCTAGTTACCCATCACAGCACAAACCACCACTTTCAAATACTGGAATTTGGCTGCCATCTCATGGGGCCTTATGCTCTTCATGGGTAGAAATGACATCTGTTTTCAACTATGTGTCTCTAGTACCTAGTAAGGAAGTAGAAACTAGTGAGCATGTCATACAGTATTTATCGACAAACAGCCTGTTCTTATTTGTTCTTTTAGGCGACTATATCTTACTCAAGCTGCTGGGCAGAGTGTGCCACTGGAAAGAAAGCCTTTGGAGTTGCCAGAAACATGTCCAGGTATTATATTGCAACAATGATGACATATTTTTAAAAACTGAACACACACTTATTGAGCATCTACTAAGGGCAGGTATCCCACATACGAGAACTATTCAGAGCAAAGGTGCATGCCGACTTCTCTAGATTTCTCTTCCTTGCAATGTTTGTACTGATCTATCTCATTGTTTAAATATAATTTTAAAAACAAAGTCCCCATGTTTCATAGTGAATTCAATAGACCCTGGGTGAGAGTTTGGGTTGCTGTCTAAACTGGCATAGTTTGGGTCACAATTTAGGCAACTAAAATGGCAAAAGCCAACTAGGTTCCCATGTGATTACTGTAACTTCTTGGCTAACAGAAGGAAATACAGCTTAGATAGTCTCTTAAAATGGGGCTCCCTTTTACTTTAATACATAAATTCTACAGTTCTCATTTCTAATTCTCAAAGTTCTTTCAAATTAAAAATATGACAAATTGGGGCAGGAATTTGGCCTAGCAACTAAGACACTGATTAGGATGCCCACTCCCTACATTAGAGTATCCTGGTTCAATTTCCAGCTTTGGCTCCCAATTCCAGCTTCTTGCTAATGCATTCTCTGAGAGGCAGTGGTGATGGTTCAAGTGGTTGGATTTCTGCCATCCACACGGGAGACTTGCATTGAGGTCCCAGCTCCTGGTTTTGGCCCCACCAGTTACTGCAGGTATTTGGGGAGTGAACCAGTAAATGAGAGTGCTCTTTCTCTTTGCTTATCAAATAAATAAATTTAAAAGATACGTGGTAGGGCCGGTGTGAATCAATGGGTTAAGATGTGATGCCAGCATCCCATATTGGAGTGCCAATTTGAGCCCCAGCTGCTCTGCCTCCAATCCAGCTCCCTGTTAATGCACCTTGGAGAGCAATGGAAGATGGCCTGAGTACTTGGGCCCCTGCCACCCAAGTGGGAGACCCAAATGGAGTTCCAGGCTCCTGGCTTTGACCTGGGCCAGTCCTGGTGCAACCACTTGGGGAATGAGCTGGTGGATGGAAGATTCTGTATCTCCCTGACACTCTTCCTTTCAAATAAATAAATACATGACAAATGTATGTTGAGTTTTTCTGTTCAAAATAATTTTTTTGTATTCATCCTAGAAGAGAAGTCAAAAGTGCAACCTATAGAAGTAGAAAGTAGACACATGATGAGCTCATCAGTTAAGAGCAGTGCCCTCCATCTCAGTCATCAAGACAGTATCAAAGATGCCCAGCACCTGAAGATAGATGAAGATGAGCTCTCATGCCCAGAATTTGGAGGCTCTGATATGAAGTATTTACTATATGAGGATGAGCAGGATTTCAGGGTAAGATGAATGAGAACCCAATTTTGAGTACTAAGAGAATACTGTAGAAAAATTTTGTTGTGGGCCAGCAGAGGGCTATGCATATATGACCAACACTTCTCCATTAATTATAGAGCTTGAAGAGGATTTATTTCTCTACTCTAGCCAGTAGCCCACTGCCCTACATCCTATGTGAACAAGCCTGCCAACTGTGCTGCCTGCTCTTTAGATCTTGCTTACTAGGCCCACTGGGTACATAAATTTACTTTTTTTTATTAATTTACAGGGTTTCTCATATTTCACGTGTTAAATAGCATTGAGGCAGTTAGAACAGTGAAATCTGTCAGATAAAGGCCAATTACTGTAAGCAAAACCTGATTTGTCCAAGCAGATAACCTGCCAAATAATTTCCCTTGTGTGTGTCTCCCTCATAGGAATATGTCAAGTTGGGCCCCCTGGAAGTAAAGCTTATGTGTGTGGAGGGCAAGAAAATGCCCATTCATTTTCAAGATAAGGATGCTCCAATCAAGCTCCATGAAGATGTCAGAAGTCCAGAAAGCTGCATCACCTGTAAGATGGTGAAGTCTCTTCTCTAAGATTAAAAGATGCAGAGTAAAAACCTTTGCTTACAAATGTCTTAGGGAACTGAAGTATATTCAGTTGCCAATTCAGTCCATTTCAAACCAGTTGTTATTCCTAAAGGTCATAATTACATTTGAAATTAAAGTTCCAAGTACTCAACAATCATCACTTGGCATGGAATGGGTGGCAAAAATGAAAGCACACTTTGTATTCCTATAGTGAAAGTCAGAAGCATGCCAGTGGGTTCAAGTTGGTCTCCGAGGTTCCTTTCCATTTACAGATTCACTGATTAACCCATGGCTCTAATATGAAATAGTTCAATTAGGAATGTTTCTAGAAAAAATTGAGAGGTTTGCACAGCACTGATACACATCCTTCTCTCTCAGAGTGAATGACAACAGTCAGTCTATAATCCAAGCCTATTTTGCAAGTCACAATGAATATTCAAAAAACTGAAATCACACAGAATGTTTTCTCTGACCAGAATGGAACTAAACTAATGCTAAAACCAACCATAAACATTCCAAATAAGTTGAAGGAAACAAGACACTTTTTAAAAAGCATAGAAAAATATTTTGAATTGAACAATGATAATACACAGATAAAACATGGTGGGATTTGGCTAGAGTAGTGTATTAAAAAAAGAAAGGCTGGGGGCCAGGGCCATGGCTCACTAGGTTAATCCTCCGCCTGTGGCGCAGGCATCCCATATGGGCACCAGTTCTAGTCCCGGCTGCTCCTCTTCCAATCCAGCTCTCTGCTGTGGAAAGCAGTAGAAGATGGTCCAAGTGCTTGGGCCCCTGCACCCGCATGGGAGACCAGGAAGAAGCACCTGGCTCCTGGCTTCGGATTGGTGCAGCTTCGGCCGTTGCAGCCATCTGGGGAGTGAACCAGCAGAAGGAAGCCCTTTCTCTCTCTCTCTCTCGCTGTCTGTAATTCTACCTGTCAAATTAATTAAATTGCAAGCTGATACACAAAAGATAAAATTAACAAAGCCAAAAGTTGATGTTGAAGGGTTAATTAAAATCGACAACCCCTAATAAGGCTGATCCAAAAACAGAAAAAGAAAACTCATGAAAAACGAAGCATAACTAAGGACATTATTAAGAAAACAGTACGGGGATATAAAGAAAAAACCCTTCCCAATAAATGTGACAATTTAGATGAAACAGAAATGTTTCTCGAAAGCATTTCTGAAAAATAAGAGAAACTACAAATTTTGAATAGTTCTGTATCTGTTAAAGAAATCAAGTGTGTAATTTAAAATTTGGCACTAGGAAAATTTCAAAGCCAGGTGACTTCACTGGTGAATTTTTCCAGACATTAAACCAAACACACACAAATTCCTTTCAGAGTATATGGAAAAATAAACATTTGCAAATCATTTTAGGAGGACAATATAATTCACTCTAAAGCCAGAACCCTGCAAAACCATTATACAAAAAGAAGTCATGAACATAGGAGCAAAACACTCATCTATGATGACAGAACTCAGGATAGTGGTTATGTTGGGGGTGGGGTCACGAATAGGATGGGACATAAAGAAGTTTCCTGGTAAATCTTGATCTGAGTGGCAGTTAACATGAGTGTGTTCACTTGTAAATATTTGTCAGACAGCAGACTGATATATACTTCAAAAAAGTTTCAGAAAAAAGTATCCCTCAAATATCTATATTCTAATGCATTCCATGAAGACAGTATGTAAAGGCCATGCTGCACAGTGAAGGGAGACAAGAATGTTTCCTGACAGGAAGAAAGACAAAATAGTTAATCAGGGTAGTCTTTCAGAGGTCAACAGGAGCAGAAATTCCTTGGAAAAGGTAGTACAGGCGCCAAGATTGCGACAGTGGCTTAAGCTGCCCCGTGACAACAGCATCCCATATAAGCACCAATTTGAGTCCCTGCTATTGCACCTGGGAAAGCAGCAGCAGATGGCCCACGTACCTGCACTCCTGCTACACACTTGGAAAACTCGGATGGGGTTCCAGGTTTCTGGCTTTGGCCTGGACTAGCCCCAGCTGTTGCAGCCACTGGGGGAATGAACCAGTGGATAGAAGTATGCTGCCTTTTAAACAAATAAATCAATCTTTTCCCAAAAATATTTAAAAGGCTAATATGGATTTGTCACTTCTAAAGAAAAGCAAACTTGGATGGGCCTTGCAAATGCAGCAGTTAAGCCACTGCTTGAGATACGTGTATCCCATATTAAAGTACTGGGGTTCAAGTCCTGCCTGTTTTGGATCTAGCTTTCTGCTAACATGTGCATCTTGGGAGGTCGCAGATGATGGCTCAAGTATTTTGAGTACCTGCTACCCACAAGGGAGACTTGGATGGAGTTCCTGGCACCTGGCTTTGACCTGGGCCAGCCCTGACTGTTGCAGGCATTTGGGGAGTGAATCAGTAGATGGAAGCACTAGCTCTCACTCTCTCTGCCTTTGAAATATTTTTTTTAGAAAATAGGAAAATTTTCACTATTTTTAAAAAATCAAAACTTTTTGTAATAAAACTTACTTCCCTCAGATAGAAGAAAACTTGATGACTTCCCTCTTGGACAAACCAAAGGGCTTCCATTAACCAACAAAAACAGCCTATGTGACAGCTCACTGATTTCAGCAGGGCAGCAGAAATTGACATTCTTTGTCTCTGAAACTTACAAAGTTCAGACCATAAGATTATTAAGACAAGCCAGGCATAACATGGTGGGACATTTGTCAGCTGTGCCAGTTTCTCCTTCACAATGTCAATTTGAATCAGAAGAAAATAGCAAATGGCTAAAAATTTTGCTTGTTGCCAAAAGGATGTCAGAGTTGAAAAGGCATCGTTTGGAAAAGGAAGGGGAAAGAATATCCTTTCTTTCTGCTAATACCATTTTTAGGTTTAGGATTTGCAGAACAGTAGTATCTCTAAATCAAATCTGCAGGATTTTCTTAACAACCACTATTCTAAATACATGGTCGCTTTGTTTAGTGACATTACCAATCTCACTTAAGTAGTATCATTGTGAACATAAAATCAGTGCCACTCATTCAACAAAACATTTATTATTAAAACATTTAACCAGTCATTGCAGCCAAGCACTGAATGTAAGATTTCAGGGATGCAAAATCAAATTTCCCTTCTTCAAAGAGCTCTTGGTCCAGTAAGAGCCTGAGCTATCGTTGCTGCTTTCGGTCTTTAGCAAGAACAGGCACAGAAGGAAGCAAGGGAAATGGAAGAAAGGACAAGTTGTTCTAAGGGGGCGGGGAGGCGGGAGTGGAGGGTACCATGTGTTTAAAGGCACCCTTCTATTTTTAGTATCATAATTGTTTAGAAAAAAAAATTTAAATCCAAGTGAATTTAGGTGGATTTTATGCAGGTTCAGCTCTCAGAATAAACACATATTTTAATTTTTACACACTATTTAAGATATTGGGGGACTAGGGACCAGGTGGTGGCAGCTTTAGGCCCAGGGTAGGAACATTGCTTATTTTGGCCCAGAAATTAGATACGTTTGAAAAAATTAAGATATATAAGAGACAAGAGTATGGGAAAACATTCTGTGGAATCAGGCTGGCTGCCTTTGAATCATTTAACCTTTTAAACCCTGGCTTCCTCATCTGTATACTTCATGGACCTAATTCCCATCTGTAAGGACTATTTTAAGGATTGGAAAAACAGCATATAACCTGCACAGAGTAGACAAGCAATAGATGGCAGTTAAAATAATCATTGGCATTTCAGTCATCTCCGGAAACAGGCCAAAGATGTCTGGCCATCTTTGCAGCGTTTCAAGTGAAGGCACAGAGAAGTCACTGTGTCCAATCCATTGACAAAGGAATCAGCTGCCACCTGGTGTGAAAGCGTGGTCCGCCCCAACCCGTACTCTCCCCAACAAACTCCAAGAGGTCCTAACCTGGATCTACAGATCCACACCAGGCTGCAGAGACAAGCAGCAAATCCAGCTCCAAAGTTCTTCTGTGAGGAAGGGAGATGCATAGGGCATTTTGTCTCTGTGAGCCCTGTAGTCAGACACTAGAGTGATTCAGGAAACAGGGATACCAGGGGATTTCTGTGGCAATAAAGGACTATTTGTTAAAGGCCTGCTTGATCCTTGGTTGTTTTACTACCTCCCAACAGAACAGTTCTCTGTATTTTTCTTGGAATAAACTGGCTTTTGCACTAAATGCAGGAAACGTCCCCTCAAGCAACTGAGGCTTTCTAAATATTAGTGACTTTAACGCGATCAAATATTTCCATTTCTTTTCCCGATGGCTTGTGAGGCTCAAATTCCCAGAAAGGTTGTGTTTTTGACCATGACTGTTCATGTTGGGTGTTTTAAGTCATTCTGTACTTCAGATCTGAGTTAGTGCTAAAAATCAGATACTTTAAAGCATTTTTTAAATAAAAATGTTTTCAGATTTCTAGCATAGCAAATGAGTCTTAGTTACTGCAGGTCCAGTTATTCTCACAGATTCTCAGTAAAGTTTTGTCAGCATTTCATTTCTCAAGTCCTGTAGTCAACTTGCTGACCTCTTGCTTTCTTGGACTAGTGCCATCTTTTTGGTCTCTGCTATAAAAGTATGCTAGCCCTTGCAACACTTCCCTCCAAAGAGGAATAAAAATGAACTATGTTGGATTCCCCACCATATGACTACTCTCTATCAGGCCAGGGACTGGCACGCTTTGGTCTCATTTGAGGCTCTAGTGCAAGTATGTAGTCAACTTTAGATCCTTGATGTTCTTTTACTGCTGCACTTCATTGTTACATCCTAGCCACTTAAAAAGTGCCTTCTGTATATACAGTATTTGTGGGAAAACATGGATGCAGAATACAGCTGAATATAATCTTGTGAGAAATGTTTCAATGTGTCTTGTAACACTTGCTAAGTAGTAGTTTGAATTTGCATTTTTTCATTTTTTAGGTTTGACTTTTTTGTTTTCATTGAAATACTCCAATTCTAAAACTTTAATTCTAAATATGTGACATGGTAGTTTTGAAATCATTGGTCAAAAAAAGCTTCAAGAAATTTACCAATTAATAAAAATTGTTACAATTGTAGTAGTAGCTTCAAATGTATTCTTCTTTCTCTTTTGTAATAGTGAATTCAGTTAGCAGTTTTGGCTGAGCATATGGTCATCCAATTTGACAAAAGTTCTGGCTGCTGGAATGTGAACCTGAGTTGCCCAGGATTCCTGGGTCTCCTTTTTTCATGCCCCCTTTCTCCTCATCCTGCTGCTTGGAATGTGGTTATGCCACCTAGCCATGCTGGACTACAGAGATTAGAGTAACATCACAAGGACTGACGAACACCAAGACACCAAACATGGAGATGTGGACACCCAACAATATTGTAGGTACCCACAAGTGAGCAAAGCTGCTGGACAGCTCAGACCTTTATGTATGAAGGAAAATTATCTTGTTGCAGTCCTGTCCATCTCCATTGCACACAACTCCAACTAATCAAACCGATACTGATACAGAGCAAAACGAATGTTACCCTAACGAGAAGTATTTTCAAAAGTAAAATGTAGTCTCTGAGGCATTAAATAAGAAGTGGGTAATTTATTGTTAAAATGGGGGAAGGGAGAAGGATCAAACTATATCACAAAGTCTGCTTTAGAAAGTATCTGTGGCAACTAAAATTGATCCTATGTGTGGGCCTGGATGTTTTCATAAAAGGTGCTCTGCCTCAGAACCCAGGAGTCCTACTTGTTTGAGAAGAGTGAGGGGCAGTGTTCTGCTTTGGAAGCAGCTCATGGTAACTCCACCAAGCTTGGGCTGTCAATGATGGAAAAGAACAGGATGGGAAATTCCAAAGACACTCTTCAGTACATCGGACCTATAAACTTGAGTGTATGCACTGCATATATACTCATCTATTATAATCCTACGAGGTGGGGCCTATAATTATCTTCATTTTATAAAGAAATCACACAGAGGAAAATTTAGTAACCTGCCCCAAATCTTCTAGCTTCTAAGGAGGAGCATTGCCAGGATTTATTTCTGCTGTTTATTAAAGAAATGCACACCACAGTGTTTCAACAAGTAAGGTAAATGCCATCAATGTGAAAGCTGCGGTTTGTAATATGCCACATCTAGAACCCAGGACAGGTGAGTTACAAGTGGTAGTCACTCTAATTAAACAGATAATAACTCAACAAGTTGGTTGGCAGCATCTCAACTGTCCATTTATGTTTCTTTCTTCTTGACAATCAAGGGCTCCCATGTTGTCTCCAGCCTTGTTGTGCTTTGTATGGGACCTGCCACAGAATAGGAACTTGAACTTCCAGCAATGGTGTGGTACACAGCTTTATCTCCCAAACCCTCAGTATCAAAAGCATATACAATCTTGGTTGTTGTCCTGAGTGTGAAGATTTATCATGGCTTTGTTGAGATTATCTTTAACTTTAAAATCAATTGCAGCTGTAACCACAGTAAAGGTAACTGATGCATCCATTCAACCTGGATGCTGGAACTAAAAGTCAGACTCTACAGAGCCAGGATTTGAATGTAGGTGGGTTGCCTCCAGGGTCCAAGCTCTTGACCATAGCTATTCTGTATTCCACTAAAAATAACTATTTATATACTTAACTTTTACCATGTGCCAGGTTAAATACTTCTACTTTTTAACTCATTAAGGACAACACTGCTATGATATATGCAATATTATCATGCCTGTTTTACAGATGAAGAAACTGAGGCACAAAGAAGAGTCTGTCACTTGTCCAAAATGGAATTTAAACTCACAGCACAGCTGCAGAATCCATACTGTTATGGGTCTGGTGCACCATCTCTGCCATGTAGCAGGTGCTTTTTAGCAACTCAGATGATCTGTGAAGGGCAAGAACGCTCTCCAAGAGACAAGAATGTCTGCCACTGTCCTGTGTATGTCTAGGCTCATCATCTGACTTTCTTACATCTCCTACCTCATGTCACCTCCAGTTCTAACCACTCAGCATTTCCCTTTCTCCCACTGATTTTGTAGCCTGTTTCTTACCTCTGGCAAGGTCATCTTAGCTATGGCTCTCAGGACCCACATTTTATTCAAGCTAGAGGATTTTACAAGTCTCTGAAATGGTTTGTTCATTTCCTCTCTTGATTCCTTCCCTACAGTCCATTCTCAATACAGCTGCCAGAGCTGGGCCAGAGTGAAGCCAGGAGCCAGCAGCTTCGTCCAGGTCTCCCACATGGGTGCAGGGGTCCAAGAACTTGGCTCATTTTCTGCTACTTTCCCAAGCACATTAGCAGAGAACTGAAATGGAAGTGGAGTGGCCGGATCTGAACTGATGTCCATATGGTATGCTGACTCTACAGGATATGGCTTAACCCTCTGGGCCACAGCACCTTATAAGAAAGTCAACTCAAAATGGATCAAGGATCTAACACTATGACCTGATACCATCAAATTACTACAGGAGAACACTGGGGAAACTCTCCAAGACACTGGCTTAGGCAAAGGCTTCTTGGAAAAGATCCCAGAAGCACAGGCAACAAAACCAAAAATAGATACATGGGATGACATCAAGCTAAGAAACTTCTGTACTGCAAAGGGGATATCCAAAAAAAATGAAGAGGCAACCAATAGAATGTGAGAAAAGATATGCAAACTGATAAAGGATTAATATCCAGAATGCATAAATATATCAAGAAAAACCACCACCACAGCAACAAAACAGATAATCCCGTTAAGAAATATGCAAAGGATCTGAACAGGCATGTTTTAAAAGAGCAAATTCAAATGGCTAACAGTCTTATGAAAAACTGCTCAGGATCACTAGGCATCAGAGAAATGCAAATAAAAACCACAATGAAGTTTCAGCTTTCACAGTCAGAATGGCTCTCATACAGAAACCAAAAAACAATAAATGTTGGTGAAGAGGTGAGGAAAAAGATACCCTAATCCACTTTTGATGGGAATGTAAATTAGTACAACCACTGTGGAAGACAGCATGGAGATCCCTCAGAAAGCTGAAAATAGATACACCATATGACCTAACAATTCCACTCCTTGGAATTTACCCAAGATAAATGAAACCAGCATATGAAAGAGTTACCTGTACTCCCATGTTCATTGCAGCTCAATTCACAATAGCTAAGATATGGAATCAACCCAGATGTCCATCAACGGATGACTGGATGAAGAAAATTCAGTATATATACACTATGGACTACTACTCAGCCACTAATAAAAAAACAATAAAATCCTGTTGTTTGCAACAAACTGATACAACTGGAAACCAGTTACAAATATCCTATGTGTTCCCTGATCTGTGGTAATGAACAGAGTACCCAAAAAATGTAATGTGTATGAGCGAAATGAGATTCAGTGATTGTTCATAGCCCTTGTCTCTACTATAGGATAGTGCTTTTTCCTTCTATTTGTTGAATTCTTTACTTACTGTAGTGTTAATCTTATGATTGAAAAATAAACTGAAAGTAGATCATTGTAAAGATTAAAAGAAAAAGGGGAAGGAAGAGGGAGGGTAGGGTAGGAAGTATCACCATGCTCCTAAATTTATATATATGAAATACATGAAATTTGTTGACCTTAAAAATAAATAAGTAAATAAAAGTGTCCCTTTTTTTGGAAAAAATTACTATTATCACATGTTTGCATTCTTCCTTGTCAGAGATGTCAGGGCATCAGAGCAGGAGGAGGCACTTGTGCTTCAAAGACTACCTGTGAATTAAGCTTGGACTGCAGAGGGACTTGATCCCCAATTCAGTTTTATCCATGTGAATTTAAAGCAGGTCATTCAAAGAGAACAATGGATCATGAAACCAAAGACCTGATTCCTCCACCTTTTAGCTTATCAACCTGGACAAGTTCCTTTTCAGGTGCCTGCTTGCTACCTGTGAAACATGTAGTTTGTGGTAGTACCTATCCAGCATTGTCCAAAAGTTGTTTGAAGAAATTGTAATATGTTTATGAAGCACTTCATGATACACAGTAACAAAGTAAGTATTAAGAAGAAGCCAGAGAATATAATACCTACATACACAGAAGAGACAAATGAAAATCTGAGATGTTAAGGAATCTAACTAATAAAAGTACAATTTCTCATTTTATATGAAAATTATTTAATAGCAAACCTTAAAAACTGACAAAATTAATAACCCATATTGACTAAAGATTATTTTTTCAACCATGCAAATATCATGAAGACATTTATCAATGTAAGGCTGTTAATCCCTCTCGCATATATACTCTGAATTCTATGGGCTATTTAATAAGCAACATGACCTAGTCAAAGGTTTCTTTGGCAAACATAATCATAGGTACCAATGTGTCAAGTTCAAAAGCATTTTCTCCCTTAAACTTACCTGACTGAAGGCATCTGATCAAAGGCAAAGAAGAACAATTTCAATAAGTTATTCTGGCTTATCATTAAAAAGTACAAAGATAATTCTTTTTGGAAATTTCACAAGGCAAAAATGAATTTTACAGTTTATTAAATCAGCAAATGTAATCACCTAAGTATACTTTATTAGCAAAAAGTGATATTGATAATAAAAAGGAAAAGGAAAAAAAGAAACTGCACCTAAAACCAGAATACCATAACGAAAGTTTTGTGGAAGCTGCATTTTATTTGAAAATCCACCCATTTTGCTAACATACATTTTAATATTGTAAACAAAAATAGAATCTGCAGAGACAATGCAACAAGTATGCTTAAACTCATGTACAGAATTGCTTTCCTACAACGAACTGTCCTTCTTAAGGCCCCTCTCAACCCAAACGTTAAGATGTATTTACACAAAGCACCGATCAACAGTGCAGTTTAATTCTTCGCTAACTAAACTCTTGGCTAGACATTAACTTTAAAGATACTATTTCCCCTTATTTAAAAGGTACATGATCATAACATGGCACGAGCCAAATAAAAGCTTCAAGGATTTTGACCCCCTTCCCTCCCCCCATAACACCTCCTAGAGTTTTACTGAAAAGAAGGAAAGTCTTGAAGTGAAAGCAATTCCTCACATTCATTTTGGAAAGGCCCTAATGTCAATGGAAAATAATGACATGCCAAGCACAAAGCAGTAAAGATCCTTCCCAATGCACTAATGCTGAATTTAAAATGTAGTGCTTCTCCTAGTCAGTGAACTGTTCCCTTGCAAAATCCTAGGCACAGAATTGACTATAAGGATTAATGCATTTATAATGCTTTCCTAAATCCCATAGAGACTGAGAATTCTTAAGAGATCCAGACCTATGGATACCTTAAAATATTTAGTGCTCCGTATGTCAGCTGAAAAGCATTCTGAATCAGATTCATTCTTGTGGATAAAAATCAAACATACTGTGTACATCCATACTCATTTTCGTAAGGAGGTTTGATATAATATTAATGTTACGTAAAATTGATAATCATAAATAAATACAAATACTTAAGGAATGTCTACTGCAAACTGAATATAAATTTTTTTAAAAAAAGAAAAATTAATTTCAGTTACTATTTCTGTAAGGACTGGAGAAAAAAGAAGAGAATGCAAAATTAAGAATTATGATTTTGATCCCCCACAAAGAGTCCTGCTGAATTATAATAAAGGACATAGCTCTTCTCTCCAGGCAGCTTTTCCAAATACAAATTTCACACTTCCCAAATAAGGGCTTTTCTTGGTAGGTTACTGATTATGGGTATTAATAGGAGTTGAAAGAACTGAAGAGTTAGTCACCAAAAAGACAGATCTTAGTCTTAAATCATGGCAATTCTTGGCTTTATAAACTGTATTGATACGTTTTCCTATAAACTAGTCCCAATTTCCTTCATGGGCCTTCACTGGGTTACTGTAGCATTCTAATGGAAGAAGAGTTTTAGAGACAGCAGTTTGGATTTTGCTGGAAGTAAGGATTTGCTGCTTGAGCACTTGTCTTTCTGGAATAATTCCATTTTCTTCCATCTAGTTACATAAATTGTATCTGGAAAAAAACAAGTATGTAAGTTAATTCATTGCATTGTAAGAGGTCCCCCTACAAATAATATTTCATGTCCTTTACCACAACTGGCCCAAAAGTGTTCACAGTATGTTTATCACAAACCCTGATTACAAAACAAAATGAATTAACAGTTTACCATGTGCCAAAATTCAATATTTCAAGTATAGTCATAAGGACTTTAAAATATGTTTTGTGATTACTAAAAACTGAGGGGTAGAATGTGGGAGAGGGGAAGAAAGACGACCAATAAGCTATTCTTCCATGACCCATTCAGAAAAACCTCTCTATAAGCACAAATTTTCCTATAAAAATAATATTAAATAATATTTAATTCTCAATTGGTAAAGCAAAAATTATTACTTCCAAATGATATAAAATCAGAGACAATAAGAGTAATGTTATGCTGAGTAAATCATTCCTTTACTAGTATAAATCAAAATTTGAAGGATCTAGAAACAGATACTTTTCAACAGGGAATCACTGTTGAAAGATACCTCAATCTTGAAACCACTCACTCAAAGACATTATTGAAGTAGATGTACTAATAACTTACTAAATAAGAAGAGTACAAACTCCCTAAGATCTAGGAGGGATATCTAAACTGGGGGCTAGGGCACCAAGAAGAACAAATTATGCTGTCCTCCAGCAAACAGAGGCAGTGTGGATCCTAGACAGAATTCTTCTAATTGAAAGGGCTGAAGTAGTCACCTGCCCTAAATTAACAAAAACAAAACAAAACAAAACAAAAAACAAAAACTATTTTTAAGTGAAAAGCATACATAATAAATCAAAAATCAAAGAAACTTTTGAAATGAATTTTCCACAACTAATCCTGGGCCACTTAATTAAACTAAAGGAAAGATGTTTGTTTCTGATGAAGCTCTAATGCATGGGTAACGTTGTGGTGGTTCCTTACAATCCTTTTAAGAGTTACTTAAAACACTCTGGTTTTAAGGGTGGTAGTTGATTTCATCCATCTGCTGTAAGCAGTGGATGCTTCTGTGTGTAAGACGACCTTTTGATTTCACACTTTCTCATTATATTAAAGATACCTTCCGAAAGTTGTTTCTCCTTATGTCCTATCTTGACCTATTTTTATTCTTTGCCTAAAGAATAAAGGAGGACAAGAGGGAACCTAGAGGCCTTTAAAGAATCAGAAGAAGAGTGAATTCAGTGCTTCATGTTTGGTAAATCTTAAAAAGTAGTTAAGTCCCATCTCCCCCAACAAGCAGCAATACCTAAAGTGATTTATAAGAAATCCTCCAAAGAGAGCTCTGCAAAGGGGTCCTTTCCTGAAGCTCTGTGAGGACTGTGACTGGAGGGGCTGGATGCTGCCGACAGCTGGGGGAAAGAAGACAGAGAGAGGGAAAGAAAAAAAGATCTCAGAATGACAGAACATGAAAGCAGAAAATGTAATGAAAGAAGAAGTGGTTTTTGTTTTCTCATCTTTAATAAATATAAAGGCAGCCTTTGCAGAAAATGGAATTATCTAAACAGAAATGTAAGTCACACGCCAAATTAAAGGGTATCAAAATGGCATGTGTTTTTCTGTGCTTCTAAAACTCCAAAGGTATAAAGTCTTTATCCAAAAGGTCAATATAAGCTGACTCATGGTTAAGACCTTGAGAGTATGTGTGTGTGTGTTTGTGTGTGTGTGCATGAGCACTAAAATGGACATACAGAGGAAGTGATGCATAATTAGATGATTTTTTTTTAATTGGGGGACAATAGCTTCCTGTGTGCAGGCTATCAGTCCAAAGCCATGTGAATTCTGAATTCAATATAGACCAAATGCATCCAGCTACAACATTCTTTCTTTCATTTTTCATAAGATCTGCCCTGCTCACACATTTTTTCAAAAACAGCTGTCCTCTGCTTACTTATCTGAACACACTGCAGCAGATGTATAACTATGGGAGGTGAGAAGGACCTCACAGGTTGCCTAGTCTAATTGTTCCCCTGAATAATAAGAACACTTAAGATTTTTGATTCTGTTTCCTGTTTCAATATATTTGCTGGACTCTTAGAATCTGCCCTTATCATTTATTTAATTTGAATACAGTATAGGGCAAGTAGAACACTGAACTCCATAAATACCTTTAGCATTCTCTAAATGAAAGATGATTCCCAAAGAACCAGGATGTTTGTACATGTTATCTTCTTCTCTAAGCCAATGTAAACATTTTTAAACACAACATGAACAAACTTTTAATTCTCTTTCCCATCTATGTAAGTTTGCAGAGCATGTAAGCACAGGGATATTAAGAAATGAGCTGTCCTTTTATGGATGATTATTTGAGTATTACACTAAAGTTGTCTACATGGAAACAGTTTCACTTTATACTTCCACCATTCAAATCCTATAAAGAATCTCAAGCCTCAAAATCTATCTTTGCTGTTCCAAAATGATCTCATTTATTTCTACCTTTCTATTTTTTTTTAAAAGCACTATAGAGAATGAGTTAGCCAATGAGTTTCAGCAATATTGTATCACCACTACATTGAATTTATTGTTCTAGATGCCAAGATCAATTTACAGATTTAGAAATCACCATTGGTTATACTGGTGATTTTCTAATCCAAATGTTATTCTCAGAAATAAATGTTCAAAGGCAATGGTAAGATTGACAGAACCAAGCGGGCTGCGATGTATCAAAGGACAGGGCAGCACATATGAGCCTGAAATTTCAGGTTCCAACCATGCAGACATAGATTAAGGTGAAACTTCATTGTACAGGTCTCTTCCCCCTTCAGCCTAACCATGGATAACCATTCATAGCAGATAACTGATCATTATTTACCAACCTGGAGAGAAATGGTCACATTTATCTGCAAGATTAACTGGGTTTCTCTCTAAAGCAGAGTTTCTCTTTTGCTTGAAGTTAAGGCAGCAACAAATCCTACTTACAACAGATAGAATTATCCAAAATCACAATTCTACTATGAGACTACCACACTAAAATATCTTCTCAAATCATGATTTTCATGATGGCAGCAGTGTGAAGACCTGACAGTCACAAGTGAAAATGTCTCTGGAAGCACAGACAAAGGGGACTCTTGAATTTTTCTCATTATGTGAGAATGCTGCTAGAGAGAAGTCCTACATGCTGACAAACACCGACGAAGAGGATCAACCTTCCTTGAAGAAAATGTGCACTTTTTAAACCGAAAGTGCTACTTGGTTACTAGTTTCTTAAGTTGGTAAATTATATACACTCCTGCATATGTTGTGTATCTGTAAATATGTACCCAAATTAAAACATGATAGATATCACCAATGAGAAAACAAGATTTAATACCCCCTACCAAGTTTCTTATCATCAAGATCAGTCTCCAGCAGATGAAACAGCTGAGCAAGCTACATGCCTCCAAGGACTGGGAACTTTAATCGCATACTGATGAGTAAATTGTCAGCTCAAAGAGTAGATAAAGAAAGGAATTCTTAAAAGAAAGAATTAGGCTGTTGCCGAATTACTGCTCAAGGAAAGTAGGAATAACCAAAGAGTAAGAAGGGGCAACCTCGTGGGTAAGAAGCAGCAGGATTTTTAAAGCCTGAAAAAGTCACCTAAAAATACAAGAGTTGACTCTCTTTACTTATCCTTCTTGTGAGTAAATTAGGAAACCAATGTAGGCAGATTAAAGGACCAGAGGATAAGGAATTTAAAAATCCAACTATCAACTTCATCACAAAAAAATGTACTTTACAAGCCAGCATAAACCAAATCATGATTGATTAATTATTCAAGACAAATCCTATTAAACATGTAAACACCAGAAATCTGTAACAAATAAAAGTAAAACAATTGCATTAACCTATTCATTTCAAATGAAATTCTGTCCCCACATTCCCACTGAGCTAAAAACTCAGAGTTATCAGTTTATTCAAATCAAAATGATCCACATCACAACTAAGGATGTCTTTTAAACTAACTGGTTAGTTTCACTATTCAGTATAGGCATACTTTGTCTTTTTTACTCATTTACAGGAAAATGAAATATTGAGAAGAGCAGAATATAAAAAAATTACGAGTAATTAATAATTAGTTGAAAGTCTTCTCCCTCTCCAGTCAACCTAAAAAAAATTGGAAAAAAAATTTTAATGGTATCCCAAAGTGTTCATCTTCCAAGTAAAACTGTTCTGGAGTGCTTTTGGTTATAGCAAGTATTTAATATAATAAAGACAGAGTATAAAAATCACAAATTAATAAAAGATAAACATACCTACAGTCAATTCTAATGACAGATTAAAACATAACACAAAAAAATGGACACTTCTGCATTATACATTTTAATACCAAAGAAACAAAATTTCAAGTTAGAACAAGAAAACAGCAGTCTCAGGACGTAAGGCTAGTACAATTCAAGAATAAAGGATAGGATATTTGAGGAAAATTATCTAATGTATCAACAGATGCACTTAAAATTCTTAGAGAAATCACTTTACTACAGCTTCATATTTGAATTTTTCAGTTACCCAAAAACATGGGAAGCAAATAGCAATGCTTGATTTTGTCTTCTTTGAAGAAGCAAAGCCCAACGTTCTAAGAGACAAATGGATATACTTCCTTTATCTGGAATGACAAAGTTAGTTTTGCAGAAAGATAGAACCAAATCTAATCCTCTCTCATAAAATTAGATATAGAATACATAACCCCAAAATATGTCTCTCTCTTTAGGGCGGTCTTAGGGATTTTATAAAAATAAGCACTGAGCAAGTTTCCTAGAGTGTAGTAGTATTAGTTCAACCTTCCCAAGCACCTATTATCAAATATTCATCTAACCCTGCAGGACGCCTAGCTCAAATGTCACTGAAGGGCCCTGGTAGTATAGTGGTGAGCTTAGCTGCCTTTCCAATGTCACTGAACCCGTGTTGCTGTTGCTCTGATGCTATGCTCTCAGCACTTTGAGTCTCTTGAAGGACTTTCATGCTATCATCAAGCAGTCACTTATGCTTCCTCAGGATTCCTTTAGGATTCTCAGGTACAGGCAATACAGCAACTATATTACAAGCATTCTAAAACATGTTAAATTAAAATGCTTTTTGGTTATAAAACAAGTTTCTTATAAAAATGGTCTCCAAAGTAGGGTGTAAGAAAAATTATTAGAACTTTTAATTTAAAACGTAATTATTTAAAAATCTCAAAATCTGTTTTACATGATTAAAAATGTACTAAGACATTGCTATAGGAATAAAATCAATAAATATACATGAACTGAGGGTACATGCTTGCTGTGGTTTGATCGTCCTCTCCAGAGTTCACAATGAAATTGTTACCACCCTATTGATAGTGGGGTAGGACTTTTTAAGAGGCATTTGTTTGTTTATTTTTTAAGATTTTATTTATTTGAAAGAGTTACAGAGAGAGGTAGAGACAGAGAAAGAGGTCTCCCATCCAGTAGTTCACTCCCCAGATGGTGATCAACAGCCAGAGCTGAGCTGATCCAAAGCTAAGAGTCAGAAGCTTCTTCTGGGTCTCCCAGTGGGTGCAGAGGACCAAGGACTTGGGCCATTCTCTGCTGCTTTCCCAGGCACATTAGTAGGGGGCTGGATCAAAAGTGGAGCAGCTGAGAATCGAACTGGCACCCATATGGGATCTGGTGCTGCAGGCCAGGGCTTTAACCCACCGCACCACAGCGGCAGCCCCAAGCAGTGTTTAGATCAGGAAGGCTCCACCCTCATCCAGACTAACACTGTCGCTGCAGGAGTGGGTTCAACCTTCCTGCTCACGTTCTTGTTCTTTTTGTCCTTCTGCTGTGTGATGCCTTCTCCATGTTAATATACAGCAAGAACGTTCTCACCAGATGCTGGCACCTGGATATTAGAATCCTCAGCCTCTAAAACTGTCAGCCAACAAATACGTTCATTATAAATAACCCAGCCTGTGGTATTAAAGCAGCACAAAAGGACTACCACATACTTTCCTGCTACTGCTGTGTAATCAAAATATTTAGAGACCACAGTACTATGCTATAGGATACCACAGCTATAAAACTGACTCAGAGAACAGGAAGTTGTTTTAGGTAATGGTTGCGGAAATGAGGAATCATTTGCAGGCCACACAAAATTTTCTTTCTTTCTTTTTTTTTTTTTTAAGATTTTATTTATTTGAAAGTCAGAGTTACACAGAGAGGGGAGAGGCAGAGGGTGGGGGAGAGGGAGACAGGGAGACAGGGAGAGAGGGAGAGAGGGAGAGAGGGAGAGAGGGAGAGATGGAAGGAGGGAGGGAGAGAGGGAGAGAGGGAGGGAGGGAGGAAGGATAGATCTTCCATCTGCTGGTTTACTCCCCAACTGGCTGCAACGGCTGGTACTGCACCGATCCGAAGCCAGCAGCCAGGAGCTT